TGGTTCGGGCCGCTCTGATTGGTTAACTCACTTGTCTTCAAACGTTACAATTGGACACTTTTATACTAATAGCCCTCCCTCTAGCATTAGCTCAACGGAACTTTCAAACAACAGGCCTGTCGTCATTTCCCTAATGTGAAACGGAAACTGGCTAGTTCACGAAACTGAGAAAAGCTGCGAGGGGTGATGCTTGGACGAATAAATAATCAAATAACCGTACACACATACTAAGGAACTGTTTGCAGTTGCTTATTTTTTTTGTATATAGCGCTATCGACTGAAGATCAACCACAATGTCTGCCCAAGCTCAAATGAGAGCGTTGCTCGACCAGCTGATGGGAACAGCGAGGGATGGTGAGTTGCCGTAGCATGCTAGCTGAGCTAGCTAGCCAAGATGGAGCCGCCGCTGAGGCTGGCTTGTGTTGGTGTGTGATGGACAGCATGAATGGCTGTACTGCAGAGGGCTGAGTAAAGTAACCAGACAAGTAGCCTTTACGAATTAACGATAGGATTTAATGTTTGTATCCATTTTAGCTATTTTAGAGAGTTGTCATATTTTGTGTTTAGCCTTTAGCACTTTTAGCGATAGCCAAATTCCTAGCTAGTAGCTAGGTGAGCTAACGCTACTGCATATTGTGAAGTTACGGAAACCGTGAGACGCCATGCACCTAGCATTGAACCATATATAACAATTGATTGATGTAAGTGATGCAGTTATCACTCTTTCAGTGGATAACGTTAACACTACTGTGTTGCATTCATAATATGCACAGGTTATACACTTGTAAAGGACACGAAGGCTAGACGTCGCATTAGGCCCACCAGTTGTTGCTGGCTAACCAGGTTGACCTGGTTGTTCAACATTTTTCACTTAAATAGTTAGGTAAATAGTTGTTCCTGAGTCTAGAACAAACTACACGACCACTATTGCTTGGTATTTCATAATGTTTTAGCTTGTACTAGCCTATTAAGTGTACCTGTAAAATACAAATGCATTAAAAATAAATACTATCATCTTGACAATATAACTTAGTAGTTAATATATTGTTATATTAGTTAATATAACTACCGTTGTCTTTATGGTGCTTTGACGTGATGAAATATAGTTTTCGTGATTGCTTTCCAGCTATTTGGATACAGACATTAAAAGGTAAATCCACTGTCAAGTCTGATTATCACGGGCAGAAAATGACAGATTATTGCTGTTCTGCCATTTTATAAATCAGAGGTTCATCCTGACAGTAGATTGAATAGAGCTACAGCCCTGTGGATTATCCTTTTTAACAAGTTGATAATTCGACCTGTACAGTTACAGTGAATTTGTGTTGTGAGTTTGTGGGTGTATGTGTGATGAGATTGATATCAAATTCTTCCCATACATTTGTTGCATACAAACTGAACAATTGTGGCCCCTTTATTTTATTCATTAAGGTTCAGTGTATCTTTGCCAGCCTACATCAATCTGCAAAGGAGTTGCAGAAAAGCCTCATGTTCATCGAGCCGTGAGTCACACATAATTTTTAAAGCTGTTATGATGAATATCCAAACAATTTGTTTGCCTTCCGGAAGTTATTTTAGCTTTTATTTTAATCACACAAATGGGTATATCTTCAGTGGCAATAGAATTACAATTTGGAGTAGTATTATGCAGCTTGAGCTAAGACGTCTGGTCGCGCTGAATCCAAACGAGCAGTTTTTCATTACACGTCTGTTTTCAGAAGGCAATTTTAGCAGTCATCGAAACAAAAACTTTGCACACATCATTTACAATCTGACTTGTGTATGACTCCCAACTTCTTACTACAGGTATGGGCAAGAAAACTGTTCCCATTTATACTTTTCTACAGCGGGTTTAAATTTCTGCTGCTGAGGTCTTGAAGATGCAGAAGGGTACAGTATGTGGTGCAGATCGCAGTGTGTATAAACTAAATTTTTTTCCTTGGATTTCTGTTGCATTTTTGTTTTGAATTTTCTTTTCAATGTTTCACATTTGTAAAAGGCTTGGCTGGAACATTTGTCTGAAGTGTTTACATTTCTTATCGCAATAGCAGTCAGTCTTTCCCGCATAGTCTAATGTATTGAAATGTAATCAACACTTTCTGTTCACACTAGTTAATTGAAACACCAAGAATATAGTTATTTAACAGTATTGTGCCACTATTGGCCTAATCTCATAATGATCCACATTTTATAGAGTGGACGTTGAGCCTTATCACAAGTTAAACTGAGTTGAGGCTCTCACATCGCCACATTTGTATTGAGGCTTGGGTAAGGTAAGCACACAGAATAAGAGCAAGTACCATATACATGCACACACGTACCTTTACTTCTGTAATCTTGACACATAAATGGTTAATACACGTAGTCCAGCAGAGGCACAGTTACTCTATTACTGGTGAATATAATGCTACACTAATGCAAGTATATGCAAAACCTTTACAATCATAAATACAAGAATTGGATTTCACTCATTAAGGTTGGCACAAAATCCTTGCAGTGCAGTTACAATGACACACATGTGCCCAGTGAATTTAGTGCACTTAAAGGAATGTATATTAAAGCACTAGATACCTCGCCCCTGCTAACAAGTATGTGAGGTCTTTCTCACTGGTTGTTTTTTGGACTGTTTCAGGGGATGAGACGCGACAGAGGGTCAAGTTCACTGACGAGCGAGTCTGCAAAAGTCATCTTCTAAACTGCTGTCCACATGACATCCTGTCTGGAACTGTAAGTGTCCAACCATTTATGTCTGCTCTCACCATCATGTACTATACTGTGCTATGAGTAATCAGAAACCTTTTGATATCAGTTTTTCCATATTTGAGTTTGTGCTCATGTCTGCTTGTGTTTTGGTGATAGCGTATGGACCTGGGAGAGTGCACAAAGATCCACGACCTGGCGCTTCGAGCAGATTATGAAATTGCTTCCAAGGAGAGAGATCTGTTCTTCGAGCTTGATGTAAGTGATGTCCTATTATAAATAATATACCTGTGCAGATCATAAAATTGTCAGTCACCATAATAAAACACAGATTAACCGTTGATGTAGTGGTGATGTGACAGATTGCTTTGCAAGATACCGCTATATACTTGTTGTTGTCAAGTGGTAAACAGCCAGTGACAGTAGTTTCAGCTCACATCATTTAGCATCCAAACTCGTTTATTTTTGTTAAACTAGTTATTTTGGAAAATTTGGCTTTTTTTAAAAACAGTTTCTGCTGTGTTTGTAGAGAAGTAGCCAGTGGCTTATTCTCCCACCTTAATGGCAGTGAAGCGAGGTGCTACAATAGTGCTTTTCACCAGTACCTCTGACTGGCAGCCACTAAACAACCTCAGTGAACCTTAGCCTCAAGGACCCCTATGACATTTTGTTTTGAGAGCAGTTAATGTCGATTACTCTGATAATTGTTTAAAATAAGCATAACCCATATACAAATTTCCTGTGTACCTATCTATCCAAATCATGTCACATATTTGTTTTTGTTTTTTTAACAAATTGTCCAACTCCTAAAGGCGGTGGACCACCTGGAGTCATTCATTGCCGACTGTGACCGGAGGACAGAACTTGCCAAGAAGCGCCTGGCTGAGACCCAGGAAGAGATCAGTGCTGAGGTGGCAGCAAAGGTGAGCGACAAAAGTTAACATTTAATACCATGTATTACAGTTAAACTTTTGAGTCATATGAACTGAGTCTTTAACTTTTTGCAATAACAGTGTGTTTCGTGATAGAAATTTCAGATGTAAATTGTATTTCTTGTGCTGTGTCGCAGGCAGAGAAGGTTCATGAGTTGAATGAGGAAATAGGGAAGCTCCTGGCCAAGGCTGAGCAGCTCGGAGCTGAGGGCAACGTTGATGAGGCCCAGAAAGTCCTGCAGGAAGTGGAGAAGGTCCGCACTAGGAAGAAGGATGCAGAGGTGAGGACGGAGTACTTGGCAGGTGCTTCCACCTTAAGGGTGTGTGATGCTTTTCCATATACTAATAAGTCCGTCTTTTGATCCTTTGACGCCTCTTTCTTCAGGAAGAATACAGAAACTCCATGCCGGCGTCCAGCTTCCAGCAGCAGAAGCTTCGGGTGTGTGAGGTGTGCTCTGCTTACCTAGGTCTCCATGACAATGACCGTCGTTTGGCCGACCATTTTGGTGGGAAGCTCCATCTGGGCTTCATCCAGATCAGAGAGAAACTGGACCAACTAAAGGTAAGTGCCAGCTTGTTCCCCCATGTGTGCTTTTAAGCCATTACTATAAAACTCCTAAAAAAAAAAAGTAACAAGTATATCAAGGACAGGGGGCTGATTAGAGAAAATATACAGGAAAGAAAAAAATGGGTCAAAAAATCGCTTGAGGTTTGGATAAAGATGCTGTCACCTAATTGGGTACTGTGTTTTTATTTTGATCAGAAAACCGTGGTCGACAAGCAGGAGAAAAGGAACCAGGAGCGCTTAAAGAGACGAGAAGAGAGGGAGAAAGAGGAAAGGATGAAGAAGAGGTGAGTAAAGATATTTAAAATCCTGGTGACATTTATGAAAGTTAATTTGTTGTATAAAGTGTATGTCTAATAATTTTGGCATCCACTTACTTCATAGGACCAGATCACGGAGCAGAGAGCATAGAAGGTAAGACATTTCTCCATCATCTACATTTTAATTCAGTTAGTTTGGAGTCTGATTAAAGGGGCTATCCGAGGTCAATTATAACCTGTGCGGTATTTTTATCAGGTCCCGTTCCCGTGACCGCAGACGGAGACGCTCGCGCTCCTCATCGAGAGACAGGCGCCGATCGCGCTCACGCTCCAGGGAGAGGAGGAGGAGGCATCGCAGCCGATCCCGCTCCCGCAGCCGAGGACACCGTCACAGCCACGAGCAGGGCTCCAAACACAAGTAAATACACAACAAAGCTAACACAGTTCTCAACAAGGACCCACAGAGCAATTTCCAAGAAACTCCCCCAGCACATTTGTCATGGGGTGCAAGTGTTTTTCCATGATTGCAGCTTTTTCAGACACAGTGTTGTTTTTCTGAAGACAGTTGAAAAGTGGCAGGCAGGTTGTGAGAAGTTATAGTTCTAGGGAAACAAATGTGTTAGGATGTAGGTGTGGAAAGTAAACAAATCACTGCCTCTTTTAACCAACTGCTGTTTCATATTTCTGCATCTCGTCCTCTGTTTGGCAGTCATTAATCATAAACTTCTTCAGACTGTTGGAGCTCATAATTCGGCTCTTCACAAACACACTCACACGTTTCTACTTCTTTCCTCTACATGTTTGTGCTTGTATTACTTCTCTGAATATCCCGTACGTTCTCGTCACCAGGTCGTCCAGGGACCGAGAGCGCTCATCCAGAGACAGGTCACGGGAGCGAGACAGGAGGGATGGCATGAACGGCAGGTCGGAGTCCCGCCGGGCAGATGACAGGGAGATGGGGGACCTCTAAAGACCAGACTTAATCAATCACGACACACAACCTCCCGTCTCTCTCACCTGTCTGTCCATTTATAATAACCTAATGTCACACACAGTCCTTGCCTTGATCCCTCTGTTCTCCCGCCTGCCTCCTTTCTTTGCTTTTACAGTTAATGCAGCCAACCCAGAGTGTATACCTGAAATTGTATGGATTAAATTTTCTAGCATCCAGATATATCAGAAGATGGCATTGGATGGAGGGGGTTAGTTATTGATCAGTAGTGGAGTGTATTGCAATGCCCACATCTGTAATCTGGTGGCTGTCTGTATCCAATACATCCTATGTCTTGTTTTAAACCACCTACAATGAGTCTAACTGAAAAAGCCAACATAAACTGATGGTCTGCTGGGCTGAAGCGTAAAATGTAACTGATCCATATTTTATTATTGACTGATGGTCTTTTGATACAGAATCTGTCTGTAAATATGTTTTGGGCCTACTGATTATCATGGTCTGAGAAGCCTCGTCCAATTAAGAAGTTTGGGGTTTTTTGCCTCTCCCTCTGAAGATTTCTTTTCACCTGGTAAACGGCAGTTATTGTCGTACAGCTCGAGTGCAGTTCTTGAATGTCTGTCCACATATACCTAGTTTGCTAAAGCCCAGTTAAAGTTTTAGGAACCCAATTCAAAACCAAAAGGTTTTAAAGTTGCGAGTATTAGTATCAATCTTATTTCTCCCCATGTCCCCTTTTTTTTTCTTTGATCAACCTTTATTTTGTTGTCAGTAGTGAAGGGAATCTATTTGAGAGTCGGCCAGTATAAGTTCATGCTTGTTATCTTGTTTCTTAATTTGTTTCTATCTTGATTTCTTTTATTTAAAATAATAAATGGTTACTTCAAAGTTGGTGTCGGCATGTGAAGCAGTAGGTTCAGAAATGATACATTGGAAATACAATGCTATAACTGTACATACCTTTATTAATTAGTCGTCATACATTGAAATTTTGGCCCAATTTGGACAAATTCCTTTGTGAATAGACTTATAATTGCAAACAGATTTTAATGGATGCATTGCTTTAACCTAATGTGTGAAGTCATATCTGTTTATGTTCTGCTGGAAGTCTTTCTTTAAAGTCTCAATAAAAAAATAAAAAAATCCCACCATTTTAATTTTCATTGTCTGCTGGTGACCTTTCTTGCCAAAGTCCTGTCATTGTCAGCATGTTAATCATGGTTGAATATTATTTTACAAAGATAAATACATTTCATTAAATTAATCTGTACCTACTCTGCATAACTGAGAGATAACTATTCACAAGAAAATCAACATACATTACAAATAGTGTAATGTTAAAATATTTAATCTGAACAGTGCCTGCTTTCACTAAAAGCTTACATTCCTGATTTGCTGCCAAATACTTTGGTTTTAAGATGAAGTAATTCTATCGTAACGACCCTTATAGCATGATGGTCTTCACTATGTGGGAAGGTCAAGTCACCATTGTGTGTTCGTTCTCTAGTGAATATAATTAATAATTCAGTTCACTCTTAAGTGACCGCCACCAGAAGAACACGATCCTTCATCTGCAGTTCTTCATGTTGTAGACGCCTGCTGCTCACAATGTGCTGCTCTCCAGTTTCAGGTCAACCTTCATTTTCTGTTTCTCCATGACTGCCTCCAACTCCGTGGCTCTCCGGGCATCCTGTAGAAAGCAGAAACAAATTAGGACAGATGAAGGAATAAAGGCACTGTTTGTAATAACCAGTGTCCGATATTCCAAGGGTGTTAATGTGGGCTACGTGGGTAACTAGAGACATGTTCCTTTATGACACAGCTACTTAACAAAGACCTCATTTAACATTCAATTATTTAAAAATAATTAAAAACAATCATGACACAACAAACTGACTCACAGTAGCATCAGTAAACTGGCCAATCAGTCAAAAAAGAATGCTCACAGAATACATTTATATTGTACAATTATTCCATGTTTCTGACGGTAAAATGTATCTTTGATAGCCAATAAATTATGCTACAGATTGGGTTATATACAATTAATTTTGAAATTTGAAAAGTTGATCTCTGCACACTATTGAATATTGATTTGCTTGATTACTGGTCAAATTTAGTGGTCAAATACTCAGCAGTTATGTCATTGATAAACTGATCAGAACAGGGAAATGAGGTACAGCATTAAAGTAGCCATAGTTTTCCTTTAATTTACCTCCAGCAGTGCTTTCTGCACAGTGAGCTGGCTGTACACTCTGGCGCCCTCATCTGGAATCACAGCTCGCAGCTCCTCTTTGTTGAGGGAGAAGAGCTGGGCACCTGTCAGCACTCCCAAACATGACACCGTCCTGAGGGGCAAAACATACAAATGACTTCAAAGTCAGACTCTAGACGATTAATACTCTTGTGGATATGCTATACTGAAAGTTTATCCATCCATTTAAGCTTTCTATTGTAATATTAACCCAACTGTACCCAGAGAATGCACATTGATACAGGAAATAGTTATCAGTGTTGAAAGAATGTGGTCACTTTAATGAATAAATGGCATTGTACTGGCAACAGTCCCAGTGTGTAAACAGGTCTGTAGTGGGCAGATGAGACGTCACTCACGGTTCACTGAAGCCCTTCCCTTGGAGCCACCCCGCTACCTCCTCTGGAGGAGAGTGGTAGTCCAGAGGAACAGAGGTCTCTGAGGAACGAGGGATGACCAGAGGTTTGTTCAGGTTGGTCTTTCCGTTGGTCAGCCTCTGGAGCAGCTCGTCATTCACCAACATGACTGAAAAGATGAAGTGATAGAAGGTATGGTGATAAATAAGCCTTTCATGCCCAAATAATGACTCACACTCACATAAGAGTGGGGCTTTCTAACTACTACATGATCAAGTACTGATTAAAGTGTACCTTTTAGTGTACATCTTTTACAGAGCACAACATTTTTATCAACATCTACCTAAGTAGGCCAGATGTGGTGACATTAAAAACGAATAATCTGTTTTTACTCCTCGGAAAAACTTAATGTCAATGACTACTGGGCAAACTGCATCTACTGAGGAAAACTGTGATATGTTCAAAAGATCTAGAGCAGCTACTAAATGGACCTTGTGGCTCAGTTTAAGCATTTTATTTGGTTATTTTCCATTTTAAAGAATATAATTTCAGGTGTTTTCTCATTATTTTACAGTTGGGACGGATCCCTTTAAACATGGTTCAATAAAAACTTTTTTGCTACTGTCCATCCATTATTTGTTTTTATGCTTTCCTACACAGCCACATATAGTTATAGGTACCTTTATTTTCTGTGTCCTCCGCAGCTGATATATGTTGGCTGTATGGTGGTAAGCTTCGTGGGCGCTGTGGGGAGTGGGTCTGGGCCTGGTGTGGAGCAGGTGGGCTGGGTGGGACTACAGAGAAAGTTTTGGCGAGGGGCGGTGGAGCTGGAGCCTGCGGGAATGTGGAGCACAGAGAAAATGACACTGGAATTCACTCTAGGCGTGTACCGGTGAGACCATACCTCTGTGCTTGTGTGATTTATCGTCTGTGTGTGTGTTTGTGTCTTACACTGGGGGCTTTGTTGGTGACGGGGCTGTCCATGTGAGCCTCGGGTTCCAGGATGTTGAAGGGAACAAATCCGATCTGGTTGAAGCGATTGCGACACTTCCACCAGCGCTTGGATGATTCAATCACCTGTCAGACGGAGGAGTTGCTGTCAGTCAGCCTACTGTTGAGTGTGATTCTACAGAATCTTATCCAATGAAATGAATACAAGATGTACACAGTTCTACAAGCTTCATGATGGGTTCCTGAAGGCACCATGAGCAGGTCTTACTGTGTAATTTTACATGCATTGTTTGATTCATTACCTCGAGTGTCTCCCCCTGCTGCACTGAAAGCTCACTGCTGTTCCTGGCTATGAAGTCGTAGGTGCAGCTGTAGAGTCTCTCTGGCTCTGGTGTGCCACCATCCCTGAAAGGAGAAGAGACCAACACTGTCATCATGCCGTCAGGGGGGGAATTGTAGAAGCTAACCGATTTGCTTCCTAAAGATGACCTACGTTTCATCGCTGATATGCGTGTTTGGAGGACCGCCTGGCTGAGGTGGCTGGTGCTGCTGTAGGTCAAAACAAGACATTCATGAATAAACAACACACACACACGCACAAAACAAGCCTACAGAGGGGATGGTGGTGGTTGACAAAATAAAAGTCTCCAAAAGTTTAATAAACAGCAAGAGCTTTGACAGTTTCCTCTTTCGTAAAGAAAGCTGTCAAAAGAAATATTAGGTAACACAATACTTCACATTTGCCAGCAGGAACTTTGAAAACCGCACAAAACCACCGCCTCAAAAATGACTCCCAGCCGTTTTTATCCTATGATAGTTCATAGCCAAGGCAAACACAAAAATATGTATTACTTAATAAAAGATACAAAACCCTGCAGCCCTGAGCAACGGAGAGACATTTTCAGCTTTTCAGTGGTTTGAGCTACCTCGAGAGAGCCAAATTGCTTGCATGGTTGTGAACAGCAAATCAATACGAGGCCATTTCAGTGCAAACACAGTCTTCATAAATAAGAGAATTTGCGAGAGATAAGAGAATAAAGAAGATAAGAAAATATCCACTACATACAGTTTTTAGCACAGAACAGGAAGGAAATTAAGGGAGGAAAGTGCAGCTCTAGAGTTTAATGTACTTGATATTTCTGAATGATTGTGTGTCTGGCATTACATTCAACTCCTGTGTTAGACCTCTAGACACATACTTTGACTGCTCCTCTCTTGTGACACACAATGGAGCGAGAGTCTAACCCATATCATACGCAGGTATTCCATACCTCTTGTTTTGCTCTGAGGTCCTCATATTTGTATTCTGACTCAACCGGATCCTCCCAAACCTGCCCGTCTGCTCTCAAGGCTTCTGGCTTCCAACCGTCCAAGAACACAGGGGTGTACGGAGCTACAGGCCCTCTGAGCTGGGAGCTGAGGGAGCACAAAGAGTCACGTGCATTGTCCTTATTACACATGATTTTTTACTTTATAGTGTAACTAAAACCATAATTACTCTTTAACAGTTCCCACCAGTTTTTGGAAGTAATGCCAAAGCTGAAATGTTGGTTTTAATGCTGCCAAAAGCCACTATTTTTGGCAATACTAAATACCTTCACATTAGACCATTTTCATGCCTGAGAAATCTCAAAATATGTGTTGAATGTGGCCACCATAATTACACTGGTCGCTGGGATGAAGGATTTATGACACTAAAATTCCCTTTATGGTTTTGAACAGATCTTTAGAACGTAATAAATCAAATAAAACTTCACTTTAGGTTTTATGCTTTCATGCAGCTGCAGAGCTGTGAAGACTCTCAGTCATACGAAAGGTGAATGAGCAGCCAATATTTGATACTTATGACATTTGATAATATACATCTATCAGCTTTATTTATTGGCAAAAAAAATAGATTAAACACAAAAATACCGTAATTACACCATGCAATGTTTTTTTTCCAACACTGAAGTATAATAAATGATCTCAGGAGAAATAAAATGAAACTGGATTATTATTCTTGACTTCTTTGTGTCATAATAATACCGTGGGAATGTCCAATTGGTACCCAGAGACGTCCACAGCTGCATCTCCTCCTCGTTCAGGTTGTCTTTTAGCAGGGTGACAGCAGAGTTGGTCAGGGCGGGGCTGGACACTGAGGCTCCCAGCATTGGTCCCCCTGTTGTTTTCACCATCTGCACACACACAGATCACACAAAACCAGTGGTCATGATAGTAATTCCTGCTGATTTCAAGTTTGTACACATTTGATTATTAATTAAGCTAAATACAACTATTTTCTTCTGTTGGAGACACACACAAAGCCTAATGGACTCATCCACACACACACACACAC